CAAACAACTGGTCCAGAGATCATGCCGGTCCATTTTGTTTTCAATCCTCCCAAGAATTACCTTACAGGACGTCAATTCAAATCGTCAATATCGATCTTTCTCAGTTTCTTGAAAAATTTCGTTGACTTTATCTATAACGGAGAATTTTCCCGAATGGAAAGGAGCAAACCGTGCGTCTGTTGGTATTTTTCTAAACCGTCTTCACAGAAAACAGCAAGAATTTCTTCGCCGACCTGTGGAGAATTATCGTCTTGGTCGAAGTAATGTTGTAAAATAAAGGAAATTTTCAAAATTCGCTAACTGTCGATTGGGTAAACAAACGTCACATTTATAGGGATCGCATCACCAAACTTAAATGACTCTGAAGTGATGCGTTGTGAAACCGCCACGCCATTTCTTCGAACTTCTTCCTCGACCTTTTGTAAATGTATTGTATTTCTTAAAGCAAAAAAAAAAAAAACAACAGACTCGGTACTCTGTATTTGCTTGAAATATTATTACATCTGAGGAAAACCAAAGCTTAATTTTAAATTCCTTATCCTTCTTATTATACCGTATCTACCTTGTGGTGCAAAGGTATATTAATTTGGTACGGACGTATGCAATACTTTCTATTATGCCGAGCGATCTCTGAATTGATCTAAACTTATCTGCCCGTCTGTCCGTCTGGACGTCCTGTATTCTTCCGTTCTGCCGTAATTTTTGAAATTTTTTTTTTTTGGCCCAAGGATGGACGCTATTGAAAATAGTTCGGATTGGATTAATTTTGCGACCACTTCCCCTAGAATAACTTGTTTTGAAAATTTGTTATGCAAGTAACTGGGTGGTAGAGTGTTTAATGCCGGGAGTCGCCTCACTAGCCTGGGTATATTCGCGTTTTACTTATCATCCATTGCTTGATTTAACCCTTAACTTGCGCACTGATGGATAAGTTTCGCAAGCTCTAAGTTTGATTCGATCCAAGCCTTTTGCTCCGTACGCTACTGCACGTGAAATGAAACAGGAAAAAAACAAAAAGAGCAGAAACTACATATTTTACCATAAATAATTCAAAGTCTAATTAAAGGAATGGTTAATAAGTTCATACTAAACTCAAGCATTCGAAAGCACTACTTGCTTTCGATAAGCCAAACTAAAGAATTAATCGAAATCTACAGAATAATTAATATGCCAAGTAAACGAAGAGGTTGTGTTACTTGATTTTTTGATTAAATGTAAATTTTTCGTTTATTGTATCCAAATAAATAAGTTTTTTAAAAAAAAAAAAAATTTATTTCAATTGTGTTTTTTTTTTCTCTTTCTTTCTTTCTTTCTTTCTTTATCACTTTATATGCATATGATGTATGTATGTATGTAATGTAATCAGTACATAAATATAATAATAATAATAATAATAATGATAATACTGTCTAAGAGAGATATGCTCCATATGCTAGTAATGGTAGCTGCAATGAATTCAATTAAATTAATTCATTTTAATAATAAATTTTTAAAGTTAAAAAATTTGTTTCAAATGTTCGAGCGCAAAAGAAAAAAAAAACTTTCTAAATTCAACAAAGAACTTTGAAAAAAGGAACAAAAATTATTTTAACTATTCTTTCCTATGGTTATTTTTAATATTTTTTTTTGTAACTTAATGATAACAAATATTTATGCTAAATAAGTGTAAAATTTTGTTAAACAAAAATAAAATTTGACTATAAAATGATTTCCTAAAGAAATCTTATTTTCCTATAAAATAAAAACAAAAATTTAACTGAATTTAATTAACATTTGTTAACTAACTTAGTAATAAAATAACGGTTATCTTAATATGAAAAAAAAAAAAAAAAAATACAATAAAAGAAAAAAACTATTTTTCTTTCACGGCTAATATTAATAATGATTTTGATCGAAATGTTTAATTCAATTATCCGATTTTTTTCTTTCAATATTCTTAAGTTTATAACCAACGTGTGATTTTAATTTATTTCCTCTTTTTTTTTGGGAATTTTTCAACTTTTAGTTCATTTACGATTTACGATAATTTATTTTAAATTAAAATAATTTGTTTTTTTTTTTTCTTTATCAATTTCAATCTGATATAATTTTTAATTAATTTTTAGATTATTTTTAAACACTCGTTTCGCTTATCAAAATCGAAGAAATAAAAATTTTTTCTTACAAAAGCTTGGGGGAATCGTTTCGAAACTTAAACCAAGAGGAAGGCTTGAAACGAAGCATAAAAATAAAAACAAATTGATTTTATACATCAAAGTGTTTCGTTTACTTCTGAGAAAGGATGTCAGTTAAAATCGTGCCACAGACAGAATTCCAAATCAATATCTGAGTTTTGTTCTTTCTCCAACTGATATGTTCTTTCGTAAAGAAATCCCGTTATATAGGCGAAAAGATGAACACCTCGTTAAAAGCACATTGGCTTCAGACATCAAAAAGAAGGCAGATTAACTTGTGCGGACCTACGCTCTCTGAAGCGATTAACAAGTGCTTCCATGCTAAGAAAGAATATCTTAGGTTAGCAGAGATATATTATATTTATGTATATGCTCTCTAGACCGAGTAAAATGTTTGGCTAACGAAAAGTTACGGTAGATGAAAAAACGCTTAACTAACTTGTAGTACAATCCGCTTACTAGGCTAACTGGGAAGTACCCCCTTTGGCGATTGTTCTGCCTTTCGCGGGAATTCTTCTTAGGGAACCCATCGTGAATATCGGCAATGCTCTACTGGCAAACTCCTTTACTAAACAATTAGCTATTATCGAGGTCTGGATATATCGAAACTGGATATATATCTCTGATGTTGAGGGGTTCAGAGAAGTCGTAATTAATAAGGTGTCTGACATTGCCTCGCCGATAGTCCCCCCGCAATCCAGGATGCATAGATAATCCGAATCTGAGAGTGGCCATAACGCCAAAAATATTATAATCTGAGCTATGGAAACCACGGATGTTAGTCTGTCTACCTATTATATGGCATCCACAAAGACTAACCGGAATGTAGTTTTCACTGCATATGGGAGCGACAGAGTCCTGACAACGAAATAGATTCCTAGATGGAGCACCGTGGGGAGATTTTGGCGCATACCCAGTCTCTCACATTTAGTACCCCAGTTAGTTGGACCCTCTAAGTGATTTAAGATTGTCGTACTTATGAGGGAGCACAGTCAACTGCTTGCATGTGAAAAACCTTTAGTTATCTGTGACTATTACACCTGACTTCGTTCTAGCATTTTATGCGCAGCGGGCCACTGTAAAAATGATAGACACCGTCCCACTCGCTGTGGGGCTGTGATTAATATATCGAAATATCCTGCGTATCAACCGACATTGTTAAAGTAAGCACTTTTCGCAAAACCCTAGGGACATTTTGCGAAAAAAAGGCTGACAAAGACTAACTGAAAGAAAAATTAGCTGAAATTACTCAGTAAGAGTTTATTAAAAAAAAAAAAAAACTTTTTTTTATATTTAAGAACCATACACAGAAGTATCGATAAAACTTTATGAAAAACCTTGTCAGTGATATGATTTACGGCTTTGTTTGACGATCATTTTACTGGCTGTAAATTTTAACACTTCATTCGACAATCGTTAAACGTCAATCTAGGAAATTTATATATGAATATATATATGCTCAACCAGCACGTTTTAATGATAAAAGGTGTTATCAATATCAACCATCTATGAAGTTCGAATTGTAAGCTACTGCTTAGCTGAGATAAATACCTTTGCTGTAAGTTCGTCAGCCTCAAATTGGAATCGTGATCAAGGACAAGTTGTGGGAAAATTTACTCATCAAGATCTGCTTTCGGTTAGAATCCTGAGGATGGGTCTATAGATTTTCTTCCACAAGGCGCTGACAAAGTCATAAACACGCCAATAAAGTGTTGTCTTTTTTTAACATCCAAAATTAGTTTAGAAACTTTTCTCATCTCTTACTTGGAAAACAGAAACATATTTGGAATTCCACCAATGGTATGTAGTTGAATTCAAAAATGAAATCTACTACAAAGGTAGCGTTTAAGTTTCAAGTAATTTCCCTATGTTCGCGGCGTGCAAGAAATGCAGGAAAAATATAAATAATAAATCATAAAGATATTGCTAGAAAAAGAAGAAGAAGAAAAAATCAAACAGCAAATAAAGAAATAAAGGGATAAATATAGAACGATACTGACAAGTAAACCTATGCAGGAATAAGTGAAAGCAATTAATGGAATCTAATCAGCGGAATATAGCATTACATAGACTTTGGAAGGCTTATGAACTTGTAAAAAAAATAACTTTGACTAGAAAAAGTTTTAAATTATTGTTGTAAACTAATTTAATGCACTTAGTAAGGAAAAAAATGAAAATAGGGAGAAGGTGAAAAGCAGTTAATTACGCGAAACAATTTAACAAGTATGGCTTAGATCGAATCTGGTATTGCCCGCCATAAACTTGTTCACGATATTTGTCTGCTTTATATGGCAAGAGATCGCTTCTTATATCGATCGTGTGTAAGTTAACTTTCTAAATTTTCTGAATTGTTTTTCCCTAAATTATGAATAGAGCGGACCAAGCGTTGTCCAAGCTTTTTTCTGTACGTAACGCACATTTTGCCTCTTTGGTGAGTATAAAAATTCTTAAGAAAGTATTTTAAAGAAATGTAAAAAAAGAAAAGGAGAAAAAAGAAAGAACGGCTTAAATAGAAAAGATTATCTTCAAACTCGAATTAGTCCGCTTAGTTCCGTTGAGCTAAGTTCAACTAACGATTGTCCACATTCACGGCTCATCTGCTTTTCGGTATTTCTTGGTTTCTTATAAAATCAAATTCTACGAATTTATGTTTTCATTCTCTAAATACAACAACTAAATATTTAATAAACAATTATAAATGGAGGGATTCAAGGGAAGTTCACATTTGAGTATATATATAGGTTTCATGAAAACTTATTTTCTTTTCTCGCTTTTTTCTCTTTCTTTTTTTTTTTTCTCTTACTAAAGGATAATAACTCAAAAATCAATTATGACTACGACAAATATTTTTTAAATGTACATATAATGTAATGTAATGTAATGTAATGTGATGTAATACTTGAGTGAGTGTATTATGTGCGGGCAGTATGAGCTTTTATATATGACTAAATAATTAATTAAAGAGCCCAACTTTTATGACTACGTACTCAAATTCTGGTTTCGGTTTTGGTTTTTTGGTCTTCGCCTGCGCTACAATTATTTCTTGTTTTTTTTTTTTTTTTTTTTTTGCTTTTTTTCACGCTTTCTTTTTTATTAAGTCTCATTAAGTCCATTAAGTTCCAAGCTTTGATGTTCCAAATTTCTTTTCAAGTCTTCAATAGTGCTAACAATCAAAGCAGTTTTATTCAACGATAATTGATCGTTTTGCTCGTTTTGCATTTTACTTAAGTGATTGAAGTCGTCTCTAAGGTTTTGGGGTTTCAAACGATCCTTTTGAAAATCACTGCTGCCGGAATTAAACGATTTCAGCTGATGTCGATGTTGAAAGATACTCACTTGACAATACAGAAAACGTATATAGTGACAAACGAATAATTAGATGGAGAATTGCATGAGAGAAAGGGAGCACTGAGAGCGTGTTTACTCACCTGATTCACTTTCATAATCATTTTTCAATTGTTCGTAAGCTGTCGCTCCCTTATAGACTTTTCGTTTTAAGGGCTCACTTTGAGGGCAATAACTTTTCACTTTTTGCTGAGAATCAAGGAAGTTTTGATTTTTCACATCCTCTAAAGCGGCAATAATGTTAGCCTTTTCTTTGAGAAAATTTTGATTACGCTCATCTTTCTGATTTAAAATGGCGCACAATTCCTGATCGGAGTCGCTGAGATTATATAAAATTTGATTGTTAGAATGCGTGATTGTTTTTAGCACCGGTGATTGGGTCTTCAAACGCCGCTGTTGTCTAGGAGAACAGGCAGGACTTTGCATCGCTCGTCGTGGCGTTAAAGGCGAATTCTCGTACGACTTTCGATTAATAAGATCGTTAGTTAAATTTTGATTTATAAAATTAGTCAAATGAGTCTTGCGTGGACTACATGGAACTAACTTTGGACTATTGGGTGGCGAATTGCTTTCATATTTTAATAATTCAATGCGTTTATTAACAGCAGCCGTTAGTTCCTGTTCACTTAGTTCAGATGAAGAACGCAATTTGTTTGTCAGTTGTTGCTGTTGTTGTTGTTGTTGTTGTTGTTGAGATTGCTGCTTCGAAAAATCTCTTTTAGGTTCTATCTCGCAGTTTTTAATCATTTCGACGCGTTTGTTAGCCAAAGGATTTACGCGTCGAGGGCTTGCTACGGGAGTTTCTCGAGGTATACTTAAATTGTTCAGAAAGAAATCCCAAAAAACAGAAAACAATTAAAAACACTATAGTGCTTCGCGGCTCACCATTAAATACTCTACACCACCCTACAGTTACTCATATATCGACTATTCAAAATAAGGCGCTATATGGGAAGGGCTAGAATTGTCCTTCCGTAGGTCGAAACAAGTCAGTCTGCCAAACTTTCATCAAAATATCTCATAAATTGGGCCCTGCAGGTTGGACACAAGAAAACAAGGAAAGTAGACGGATAGACGGACAGACGGACAAACAAATTAGAAAGGCAGCTTAGGTGTAATGAAGTTCTTCAAGTTCTTCTGGGTATTGCACACATCCGCACAAATCGAACATACGCTTGTGCAACAAGTGGTGTATGGTGGAATGAATCGCATCAAACTAATTTTACCTTTGCGCACTATTCCGCATCGAAACTAGAATCAACTCGGCTTCCATAATCAATTGACGGTATTTAACATCAGCCTCAAAGTCAGCCCTAAGCAAAGCTTTTTCACTTTCTCCCACGGTCATAAAACGTTTTTCGCGAGCGTCAGTTAAAGAATTTGAGCGCTGTGATAATTGCGAGGGTGTCGTACGACTATATCTGCAATTGATAAAATATTACATACAAAGTTTATATGAAATTATTTCTTAAGACGCTTGCTTACCTTTCCTTATCACTAGCATTTATATGCTTCCGAAGACAGACTGGTGTGCCACCAACACTACGAGTTTCACGTGGTTTTCTCATTGGTGAGCGATGACCATGATCTCTGCTCTCTGAGCTCTTCTTCCGTGTTTTATGATAACGTTTGCGTCTTCGTTGTGCACTACCACCAGCGCTGACCAATAAGTTTTGTTCAGCCGATATTTTCAGACTTCTAGAATTTCTCGGTATACGCGTTGCGGCTTTATGCTGCTGAAATTGGTTCAACAAAGGACTTCCCTGAACGTAATAACCCATATTGCTTAATGCATCCTTGCGCTCGTACACTTCTTGCATAGATGACGTATCAATGAAATCAATGTCCAATAATTCATCAGTATCGCATTCGTCTCCTGCATCCTGACCTGTATCCAGATCCGAAGGGCAATCTGTGGGATCTGAGTCACTAATGAAAAAATAGAAAACCTCAATGAGCAGCAATGGTAGTTTCAGTCTTTGTTAAAGTACAGAGCACACAATTGGATGAAGTGTTTTAGTTGTGAACTATTATCGCGAAAATATTTCCTTTTTAAGCGAAATAAGTAGATGAACGGAGCATCACAAAATCCAGACAAATGTACTGCATTGTACATTGTACTGTCCGATATATCGGCGTTGTTTCAGTTTCGGCCACTTCGTTAAAAGCCTACATTCATAATATTTTTATACCATAGTTAGCGGTTCGGTTACACGCACATCTAAATGGATTTATCATGGCCGCCCTTAATGCGCTTACATATTAAATATGTAAAATGTTTGTAGGGGATAAAAATATATATTAAAAAGCTATATAAAAATTCCCGAAATATCTGACAAAAACAAGTGAAAACATTGTAGTGGGACACGGCCCACGATTAAGTACCCTATCCCACTTCCACCACTTCATTTAATACAGTTATTCACATAAGGACTTCACTAAATAAGGCTTTTTATGGGAAGCGGTCGAAAAAGTGGTCCGGTCCGAACGATTTTCAATAGCATTTGCCCTTACAATACTAACCACCAAACGAAATCGATGCAGCAACTTTCATCAAAGTATCCCAAAAATTACGATCTGTAGATTGAGCAGAAGAAAGCAAGGCAAACAGACAAGGAGACAAGTAGACAAACTTCAAGTCTTTCTCGGTGTTGCTTACATCTCCACAAATTTAATATAACCACATCTCATAAGTGGTGTAAGATGTAAAAACAAGCACTATGTTACAATGGTAAGATGTTTAAAGCTGTTAGTTTGCACTATGCTTTGTATGTGTGAATGAACGAGGAAAACCTAATAAAGTAAGTAAAAACACAATAGCGGGGCATAACTCAACATTAAATGACTTTTCAAAATGAGGCATTACATGGAAAGCCATCGAGAAAGTGATCCGATACGAACCATTTTCAACAGTGTTCGTTTTTCGGCTACAGCAAGCCAGTCCACTAGATTTCATCAACATATCTCGAAGATGGTGCCCTATAGGGTGAAACAAAAAAACAATACAGATAGACGAATAGATGGACAGATGGACGGACAAGCTAGGATCGATTCAAAAATAAATTCAGAAAATGATTCTGATTGTTATAATAAAATACGAGTCGATCTCAAGTCCCTCTGAGTGTTTCATGCATCCGCAGAAACTTAGCATACCTGTGTACCATAAGTGATGTAAGATAAAACAAGCAATAGGCGAATTATTCGTCTCTGCGCGATGAATATCGAAACTTCCATATACGCTTTTTTAACCCCTTAAGGTCATATTAATGAGAGCCTTGATTGCATAAAAAAGCATGCAAAGCACTTTTACCGTATTCATAATTGTTAATAAGCTAACCTAATTTTTCTTTCTACCCACCTCAATATATCTGTCTCTTTCTCGTATACATAGCTTTCATCAAATTTTCCCATCATTTCATTCAAAGTGGCGTCATCGTCACTCATCGCAGCCAAGGGCAACTCATGATAATTTTGTTTATGCGGACTATCAGCAACAGGTTCTATACAGTGTTGTTGCAATTGCAAAGAACGCTTACGACGCATGGTGTTGGATGTGAAGGACCTATGAACATTTTCCACTTCTGTTAGCGATGATGAGCTCTCCGAAGAAACATATGTCATGCTGCTGTAAGCAAGGAATGGCATTGAATATATGCATACACGAATATTACTACATTTGCACATACATATACATAAATGTATCTGTATATATTTATACAAATATTTATTTCTTATTTTCATATCTGTACTACTTACTTGTGCTTAATACTTAAACCACTGCTACAGCCGCCGGCTGATGAACTTGTGCTCATTGACTTGACGCCTGGAGATTTGTCTCTTTTATTATTGTTTTCAACGTGAATGGTGGAAGGGGCCGATTGGGTCGACTGTGACGAGTTGGAAGAAATGGTCATGGAAGAGATCTGCGATGCTGTTAACATAACTCCGGGCTGTGAATGAGTAGCTGTTGAGCTAGATGAAGAGGTTTCGGTTGTTGAATACCACGGATTGGTGCGTATGCGACAGCGTTGTCGGGGGGAAGGAGCTACAAGCCAAATAAAGATTTTGAGTCCGAAATTGGGTATGAACCAAAACTTACATTCAAAACCTTTTAAAGTGGGTATAACAATGGGGGCATGCATAGGTAGAGGACTGCTAGGAGGGCCGGACCCCCAAGGAGGCACTATTGGGAAGCTGGGCATTTTCATTTGCCCACCATCACATTCATCAATATTACTGCGATGATTAAATGAAGTTTTAGGCTGAAAAAATAATTTTATATTCAAGATGATTACTCAAGAAGGAATATAATGAAATGTGTTCTGAGTACCAAGGGATCGATAGGTGACATTTCCTCGATTTTGTTTAAACCAAATTTATATCTTTGCGCTTCAATGGCCAGGGAATTAATGCTTTTGGGAAAATAGTGGGTGCCAGTACGCATATTTATGTAATATTCGGGTGGAGTGTAGCCATTACCCGGGGAAGTACCATCAGTCGAGTAACCGGTAGAGTAAGCACTTTCTGGTGAGGAAAGACTAATGAGCGGTGCTCCGGGGGGACGATTCTCGCTTAGAGCCTGACCTCCATAAATTGGGGGCAGATGTTTACTACGCTGAATGTTGCGTATATGCATAAAAGTTCCGCCGTGATCACTGCCAGTGTAAGAATGGGCTCCACTGGTTTGAAGGGGTCCATGTGCCCCTTGGCGTGGTATGCATTCTTCACTGCCGCTACGAAAACTAACAATAATAGGGTTAGGCATTTTTGAAGGCAGTAAACGCCCATAACGAGCCGAATGATCATCCTGGCTGTGCCGCTCTTCGATCAATATTCTACCCGTGTGAGTGGAACAGGAGAATTGCTCAGATTTTGGTCTTTCTGGCGGTAAAGTAGTTCCGTGAAATAAATTCTCAGGATGTCTAATCAGTGTGCCAATCTCCTCGTAATGAACAGCGTTAGGATCCTCATCCGAATTCCTTTGTTCTTCGGGAGTGAACACTTGGTGTTCAAGACCATTATTGATTTCTACTACTTGCGTAACACCTGACGTTTTCACTTGTTGGACACCAGATGAGTTCATCGAAGGTTCTTTGGACCCGGTAGACCATGATAGAGAGGAGAAGGAAGACGTAGAACAATTTAATTGATGCTGTTGCGTCGGCTGTTGCTGTTGTTCTTGTTGTGGCTGCGTCGTCTTATATTTATTGTCTTCTCCGGAAATATCTTGGGAGTTTGTATTAGTGTTAGTGTTGCTTTGCAAATATTGTTGACTAGAATGTTGCGAAGGATAGAGAAAATGATCAGATTTCGGAGATATGATATATTCACGATCTGGAGATTGCCAACCATAACGACTTTGAGCCTAAGTAACGAAAAACGAACAGTTACAATTACCCCATTCACGGCATTTTACGATATTCACAGACTTACATGATTTTGTATCGGTGACACCTCACGTCTTCTAACAGGGCTCGATATAACACTACTGCAACCCGTATGATTGGCACTAGAACTATTCGAATTGGAGTTCGTTTTAAAAGGTGATCCAGCACCATTGCTATGATGTTGATACATAGTAAAACCAGAGGCAGCATGTTTTTGTTTGCTATAAATTTCGGCAGTTGAATGATTTAAATGATGATTGTTATCGGTGGTCTGCGTTATTGTGTTTGAGGCTGAACTGGAATTTGATTTATTTTTGTTGCCTTTTTTTCGGGGCCTCACTATGTGATTCTCCATCCATGTTCTTAGTTTGGCACCAAACATCGTGCCTAAGTGCGTCTACCAGGATTCCAGTTCCAGGATTCAATATATTGATATATTTTACTTAAATCTGGTATATTTAGGTTTTTCGTGGTTTCCTGCATACAGTGGACGGACCTCTTTAAATATTCTTCTAAAGAACTGCAAAAATATGTATTGAATTAATCTTTGCATAAATATTTGGAAAAATTATTCAGTTAAGGTCCGTTATTTTTCTTAAAAGAAAACAAGATGGCTAGGCGGCGGCTACGGTACAAGCGAAATTTCATGTCCTTAACGTAAGTCTTGCCTGTTCTTTTTCTTCTCGACATAATGACTTTTTCCTTCTTTTCTTCCAGATAGACTAGCATTTTAGCATATACGTATAAGTAAGTATTAAATTTGTGCGGATGTGTGAAACAGTAAGAAGGACTTAACATGGACCCATCTCTTTTCATACCGATCGATTCAGATTCACTTTCTTAGCGTGTCTGTCTATCTGTCTGTCTTTTTTCTTGTGTTTAACCTACCGGCCGCAATTTTTGAGATATTTTGATGAAATTTGGCACACAGACGTGCTTAGACACAACAACGAACGTGGTTCAGATCGAACTACTTTTTCGACGACTTTCCACACAATACCTCACTTCAAAAAGTCGCCACATGAACACCTGTAGGGTGGCGAAGGTTATTTTATGGTGAACAGTGGCCTACTATAGCGCTTTTGCATGTTTTGATCTATTAGCCCTGTTATTATTCAAGATGTTAACCTTTCTCCATCCTTTAGCTCCGACGTTACTCAAGATATCAGAAGGCATTTTTCATTTGCTCATTTCGAAATAACCAAAATCGTTTTTCCATTTCAATTCCACAATAACAAGATCACCTAAGATTACTCGCAATCCTTACGCTAATTAGTTTTTCGAGCTCAATAAATTCTAAAAAAAATATTAAAGCTTAAGGATGTAAGAAAAATTGCAGTGTACTCGCATTTAGGACTGGGTTACAAAATTAAATATCAATCGAATGATTTTCTAACACATGAGTAATTCCATTTTTACCATAACTAGGCATCTCGACCATTGAAAAGCCGTAGTAACATCCACGAAGCATTAAGAAAAACTACATCTTAAACTTTTATTCTCCCTATAAAAAAAATTCGTAATTCAGCATTGAACTATGATCTATTCGTCTCAAAAAGAGAGGGAACCTTTTCACCGCCACTTTCCACTACAGACATTTCTAAAATATTTTTAGGGTATTGAAGTGTGGCACAATTAACGAAATTAATTAAAACACTCCCGGTTAATGAAACTACAATTACGACTCTGTTTATCAAGAAAAGCAAATTTAACCTCAGTTTTGTTCTAGCTTTCCTTGTCAGGTTAAAAACAATTGTATTTGATAAAAATTTGATCATTTTTACCTTCCTTTAGAATGAAGGCCAGAAAGTTGCTAAGCTTTGACTCAAATCGAAAATTTATGGTTAAAAAAAATTTTCCTCGCAGGCTTGCAAGTTAGCCGACAATCTTAACAAGTAGGAAAATTATACTCCACTCTGTCCGAATCTTTTACACCCGCCACCTGTATATTAAACTTATATATACAAATATTTACTATTGCAGTTTATGAGCAGCGAACGAAAAGCTCAATTCCCTTAGATTTTGAAAAAGAGAAAAAGTTCTCACTTCACATGGCATTATGGCCTTATCCCTTGACCGATTTAGTCGGTTTTCAATACCAATCTGCAAACGACAGCTATCAGAAGTATACGTGATATCATCATTTTTGCAAGCGGGAAAATTTTTAACGCAGCCTTCACATTGGCTGGATATATTGATCGCATCGTGTGGCATCCAGCGTACACTAGTAACACCAATTATATCATAAGCCACACATTCATTGGTGGAACCGAAATATCACATTTCTAGAAGCAGTAAAGCATATCCTTTTGACCCAAAATGGTTAACATTTTTTTAGAAGAAAAGACTGAGAATTTTTCTCTTTTCTAAGATCTTAAAATTTGCTCAACTAACACTAACACTGGATACTCTTTCCTTTTTTTCCCTTTTTATAGATGAAGACACAAATATTAAATCGCAAATGCTTTGAAGGCCCACATTCACCACCATTTCTTCAATATTGCATTTAGTATAAATGCTATACGCCGCACATACATGTAAAAACATATTTTTATACCATTTGGCAGCAATTCCATAGACTAAGCGTAATATTTACATATATAATAAATAAATTTTTGCCACTAGCGTACCAAGAGTATATGCAGCAAACGCCTGCTTTCGGCTAAAGAATAATTTGATCATCACGAGTATTTAGATATTAGGAAAGCTCTAATGCGTATTTTGGCTTTTTACAAACGTACAGTCTGGTAAACTAAAATCATTGTTTCACAGCCTGGATGGAAAAAACCTACAAATACATAATATACAATTATAATGTAAGATATATATATATGCATATGCATATAATATATAAATATATATATAACGTGTTATACGAAATATTATAAGCGTTAAAATGCTTGTCCGAAAAGTATGCTATGGAATTTTTCGCAAAGCTCTATGAAATTTAATATACAAAACAGTTGCAGAAGGAAGTAATTGCTTAAAAAATATACGCATATATATATATAAGTTATATTTAAATATATATTTTAATTTTGCAAACAATTTTAATAGCATAAGTCGGACAAGCATTGTAACGTTTTGATATTCCGTGCATCACAGTGATCTCGCCGAAAGATCTATGCCGAAATTGGTCATAAATGCTCTTTTCATTTTTTAGCCGTTGACACTACCTACTATTCGAAGACCCTTTTCCTAGCAATATTCGTCCCAATTTGCTGCTCGTTCTTTTTTAAACTTTACCAAAAAAAATTGATTAAATAACTAAACTAGATCTTCATTTCGTAGCTTCTACGGGGTTACGGTTCCATATAACTTTTGCCAATCATATTGACACTGTAAAAGGAGTAAAGAGATTTGAATTTCAAGGATACTCCATCAAAGAAACGCCATCGCCCTTCATATATCTGTGTAGGATACAGGCCACCATCCTTCACGTATCAAGAGCATATTCAGAGGAGATCAAGATCAAACTTTTCCGCAGACTCTTCTACGGATATTCCTATAAGTCAAAGTCAAGGTCAAAAGCAGTATAAAAAAAACGCTCCGACCAAGTGACAACGCCGAACAAATTTTTTTTTATAGCTCTTCATATAAAATCCGTTTCGTTTTAGATCTTTCTTGTTAAGCAAAATGTGTTAGTCTTTCATAATCTTAAAACCTTTTCACTTTTAATAATCTTCAATCATATTTCATATATTTTCGAGGCTCTATAACTAGACACGGTCTTATTTTAGAAAGGCATTATTTGTCTCTATGTGAAACTTACAACGCCTTACTGAAAGCATGTCTAAATGCTAATCGTCAGCTCGCGTTAGTTTATATGCCTCTTCTCTCACCATTCTCGACCGAGCATTAGATCACGAACCAGCCGCTTCCTTATACTTGTTGATGAGGCAAAATTTCGAAATCAGTAATGTAAGTTGGTTTCTATCAGAATGCACGGGACTTTGGTGAGAATTATTTCTTACTAAACCAACGTCTGCAACTGTACAATTAAGATGAAAGGAAGGCGTAAGAAACTGCAATCATTTCTAACTCAATGATAAAAAAATTTGTTTCCGCCTGAGTAGCCGAAGGCGGGGAATCTCGACTAGCAAGTCAATGGTCGTGGCTTCGAATATCAAGTGCGGTAGAGTTTTTACTAAAAGCCGATAGCCTTAGATGCTAGTGCTTTTAAGAGTTTCTCTGGCGAAATTAATAATAATAATAATAATAATAATAATAAAAAACAAATAAAAACACTAAACACTGTTCACCATTAAATAGCTCATGTCACCCTACAGACATTCATACAACGATTATTCATCACAAGTAAGTGGTAAGTGAACAAGGAAGTAGTTCGATCCGAACCATTTTCAAATTTCACCGCCTGGAGGTTGAACACAAGAGAACAAGACGGACAGATAGACACCCAAACTTAGATCGATTTAGAATACAAGAAAACGAAACGGACAGACGAACAGCCAATTTTGAACGGATTTAGAAAATGATTTTGAAACGATCTTTGTAGCGAAAGATGGACCTTTCTAGGCCTCTTCTAGGCATTGCTTACATTCGCACATGCTTGTAACATATTTCCACTTCCAATTCGAACAAAGCGAAATATCTCATACAGCAGAATAGCTAATGTGGCAAGTCTTAAAATAAATCAATTCTAGTGCTAACTGACTTGACTATAGGTATTTTTATTTTTTCTTATTTTTCTTTTCTCGCTCATAAAAATTTCAACTTTTCATTTTATTATTATTGCTAAGGTGTGTTGTGGTGTTAAGGAAGCAAAAAAAAAAGAAAAAGAAAAACCCTAGTTATTGGCCTCCTTCTCTTTTTCGTACTCAATTCCAAATCCTCAAAACACATTTTCTTCGTTTTTATAGCCTAGATAAAGAAAAATTCTTAAGCTTAACTTAAAAGCCCCCTGGAGACTGACTCGCTCTTTGGCACACATAAAAGTAATCATGTACAGACAACAAAAACCAGAACAACAACAACAACAAACATTATTATCCAAAGGCTGTGCCGTGCCGACCAACACAATAGCAAATAAATTTATAATAGAACAGAAAAAAAGTTACGTTATATCTTTATATATATATGTATATGTATATGGTTATGTCGTTCCATTACCTTTTTCACAATATCTTCAGCCTTCTGCATATCCTTTTTTATTGTCTTCATAACCGTTACACAACAATCTCAATCACAACAATTTACATGCATTAATATTTGTGCGAACGCTTGTGTGTATTTTACGTTAAATTACGTTTGTTACACAACAGACACCAAACAAACACACACACACAAAACACTTCTTTCTTTTCTCTCTTCTCTTCTCCCTCTTTCACACTCTCTCTCTCTCTCTGTATCTCTCTCTCTCTCTCTCTCTCTCTCTCTAAGTATACTTATAAGTTTCCTTCCTTTGATTTGTTGTTTTTGCTGTTATTACTGTAGTGTTTATTATAATGATGATGCCGTTCATGTTTCTTTTTTATACATAGGTATATGTATATATACATATATATTTTTTTATGTCGTTTGTTTACGGTTAGAGACAAAAAGATAACGACAAATATACCACCAGAAGCATGTGAATATCAAATGATAACGGTAAACATGAAATGAAATGAGAGCATATCTCAGTTTATGTTAAATAAAAGAGAGTTAGTTCTATACACATACAT